AATTTCGATTTTTTTAGATTCTTGTTCTAACAGATGTTGATCATCAAGATACAGTAATGACAAATTCAACATCTCAAATGAGTACACATGTAAAAGGATCATCAATGCATAAAAATCGTACGACTATTTCTAAACCTGATTTTACTCTTAATGATGACAACATTGGCGACGATGAAAGTGATATTGACGATGAAATGGATATTGATATGGCATACCAGAGTGACAAAGATGATGGTGCTCAACAATTGATTGAACTAACGTTTATTTGTCTAACAAAACCAAGTCGTATGGATCGTTCGCGTTTAGAGCATATTGTGGAAATGGGTAATTGTACATTGAAAAATATTTATTTCCTAACTCCATCAAAGTCAATAACAATCAACGAACAAATGTTAACTCAAACAACTGAACAAATTAAAAAAGATTTAGTCAATGTTTTCATATCAGTGTTAAAATGTGGACATTTTGAAACCCAACTGGCCATTTCTCCTGCGTTAAAACCAGTTGTATTGTACGTTTCATTCTGAACTATATTGAGTGAGACTGTATCTACTTTACTGAATGTATTTCTCTTTAGCATCATTAACAAATGTTTTGTCTTAGTTTATTTTGTCCGATATTTCTAGACGTGGCAATAATGAGATAATTTATCCGTCTAAAACAATAACGATCAATGGTTTTATTGAATTATCATCACTTCGTAGTCCAATGGCCATATCAAAACATATTCTATTACCCATTCAACGCCAGACACGTTTACAACGTTCATCGTCGTCTACAAATTACAGTATTGGTGCAAACAATACTAGTGGTGCAAATAGTAGTACTAATTCGATTATTACCAAGAAACAACTGGCAACAAAAAAACCACTACCACCAATGAATAGTCCAATGAATAGTACAAATGGAAATAACAATATGAATAATTTTTATTATCTATTGATGATATCATTAAAAAAGGAAAAGTCAGCAGCTTTGATTAGCATAAATGATGAATGGTACGGTGCTGTATATTGTCAAAAATTTGAGAGAAAAAAAAGATCAAGTCGATTAATTTTGTCGGTATTTGAACCAGGTAGTATTTAATTCAGATTTTAGCAAGAGATTTCTACAATGAATGTATTTTAGGTGATCGTATACCATGGATACCAAGTTTTGAACGTTTGGGTCCATATGCCGTTGTTTTTCCTTCAGCAACTGGTACTACAGATCAGCAGTCGTCATATCGAAAACAAGCTTGGCCAGTTAAACATTTTGTACGAAGTTATACTGATTCATTTTTAATCTGGTGTCGTCAAAATAATTTTACAGTAAGTATAGTCAAAAGGAACGCAAACGGTCATCGAAGATAAATGTTTTATAATTTAGAGTGATATTAACAAGTTTGTACGTGCATCTGCAAAATTACCCGAAAAATCGGCCTTTTTCTATCGAGTATGTATCCGATTTTGATATGTATTTTGTAGCTGAACAAAAATAATCTTATTGTTTAAGGAACTAAATAAAATTTGCCGCGGTGCATTTGTATATGCACTGCGTGGAAACCTTTTACAATTATTAATCCAGATGTTTCAACGTCAAATACAATTAGGTAAAATTAAACCAGATGGTGTTAAACATATTCAACATGTCATACAATATATGCAACGTTTAAAATCACAAGAACGTTTTACAGATATTCCACAATTAACGTCTTCAGCCTCATCAGGCGCTTCTGTTGCTGGTGTACCGGCCGTGACGACAGGACATACTACTTAAAAACAAACTTGTGCTTTGTGAACATATTAAATATGTTCTTTTTTTTGTATACTGTACACTATATAAGTTGCTAAAATTTCAAATGTTCTTCTTCCTTGTGAAAAGCACTTTTTCTTCACTTTAAAAGTATTTTCATTTATTACGGTGGCGAAACGAATTCAGCTTTGAACATCTAATAAAAATATGGTCATTTTCGTAAGAGCTATAATAAGTATGATTGTTACACATTATGTACCAGATATAGGTGACATCTATCTTGGGCTAAAAGAATTTTTAGATGTAGAAATAAAACTATAAATATAAAGCTTGCTTAACCTATCGATGTTTAGTTATATTCTGGGAAGAGCGAGAACAAAGAGGTTAAAAACTGTTCTTTCATTGGGCTTTAGAGTTATCGTGAAAAGAGAAGAGAGAAAATATGGATGTTGCTTCGAATTTTCAACAGAATAAATAAATAAAAAAATAACCAACAATTCTAATTATTGCATGATATGAATTAAGAAGCAAAGATTGTCTCAAAAAAAGTCTAGAGTGCAATCATACACTATCTCTGATACGCAGGCTGATAGCGGGAGTTTTGTGTAACAACAAAACTATATATTCTCCTAAATTTATTAAATTTGTAGATAATATGACAGAAGAATATTTTCCTCGTGGGTCATCAGGCGGAGCTTTAAACAAAGAAAGAACTGATATCAAGGACAAGACCAATCTAACGAAAAAAACAACGAGAGTTCGTTTAGCTTCAAAATTTGAAAGTAATGATGATTTATTTGTCTTACCGAAATCAAAAAGAAAAAAACAAAACCAAAATAATAAAAATTTCCAAAAAAGAGTGGAAACGACGAAAAGTCGAGTGGATGAGGATCGTCAAGAAAAGTTATATCGTCGACTAAACAAACAGGTTAGTTTTTATCCATTAACTATGTAAAGTGTGACGTTTTTCGTTGTATTGTAGAATTTAACGGATGGTGTTCTTGTTTTGGGTTGTATTGAAAAAATAACACCGTATGAAATTCGTGTTAGTTTACCACATCAAAATATTGGCTATGTACCACTATCAATGATTTCTGATGAATACACAAAAATACTGTCTTCAACTCAAGAAGAAAATGATGATGTAAGTCTGCTTGTTAAAAACAAAAATGACGTTACTCGTTTCTGTTGTATCTTTAGGCCATTTCACGTTTAGAGGATTTATTTTTTGTTGGACAATATGTTATTTGTCGTGTTATTGATAGCCCGGTTGAGAATGAACAACCCACGAAAAAGCAGCAAAGATTATATTTAACGATAAATCCAAAAGATATATGTGAACAAATAAGTGCTGATTCGTTGGTGAAAGGAATGGTACGTTTATTAAGAAAGTGACTTTTATATTTCAGGACATTATTCTCTTTTTTTTTACAGTTGATACCAGGCGTTGTCTCTAGTATCGAAGATCATGGATATTTGATCGATATTGGTCTTCAACAGCGAAAAGGTTTTGTAACAAAAGAAAATATGGAAATTTTTATGAAAAACTCAAGCAGCGATAGTAAGACTCTCTACCAGTTTTCAAAACGTTGTAACTTGAATTTCCCCTCACTTTTTTAGAAATTCCGGATAAATTAAAAATTGGTTATTATTCATTTTTTCAACTAAAAGAAACATTGTCGAAAGGCGATAATTCACGAATTGTACCGTTAAAATTTGTTAATGGTGTTAAACGACCGGTAAGTGTTCCTAAAATTTCATAAGAGATGCGAAATGGCTTATTTTTCTCGTGCATTTAGGCCTTAAAATCAAATCAAATGCCTTTTCATATGCTCATTCCTGGTATGAAATGCAATGTTACTGTATCAAAGGTAGGGAAGTGCCATGTGTTTTCGTTTAATGATAACTCAGAAACGTTTTTTTCGGACTTTTTTTAGTCACGTATTAACGGTATTCTTGTCAATTTCGGAGAAATAAAAGGTTTTATTCATATACAAGATTTAGAAACATTAACAATAAATCCTGACTATTATACGGCTGATAGCGAAGTGAGTAATGCTTATTTTCAATTTGTCTTCTTGATTTCATTTCTCTTCTCTCCATTCTAGATCGAAGCCATTGTACTTGCGATTGATTCTGTAACAAAACTTGTTTACTTTACTCTTCAACCACATATATTCAGTTTGGACTGTCCACTGTCCAATGATAATCAGTTGACTGTTGGTACAATTAAAACGTGTACAATTGTGAAAACAATTGGTTCATCGTTAGTGATCCGCCTTTACGGGAAACAGTTTGGCCTCGTTGCGACTAGCCATTTGACGGATGATAAAGATGCTGATGTTGAACAAGCACATGGTCTGTTCAAACCGGGACAAAAAGCTCAGTATGTTTAGGGAATGTTTTATGTTACTCTGATAAAGAGTGTTTTTATTTCAGATGTCGAATTATCGGCCTATCACTTTCAAACAATATTATCATCTGCAGTTTAAAAAAGTACGTTGAAAATATGATAACAATAAACCATATTCGCATATTTTTCTTTTCTTTTCTCAGAAGTATCATTGATGCACCATTTATTACGTACTCTGATATTAATGCGGGCGATATTGTGAAAGTATGTAGATTTATATCCTTTTGAAGGCTTCGCCGATTGTCAATAGTTGTTTAGTTTAGGGAACAATCAGTCATATTGATCCAAAGGGCTTAATTATTAGTTTAGCTAAACATATTAACGGTTTTGTACCTATCATACACAACGCCGATATTCCAATTAAAGAAACTATGAACAAATTTGCTATAAAAAAAAAAGTTCAATGTCGAGTATGTAGTATAATGAGAATTTTGACTTAATAATCGATTAAGTTACTTTATCCTATTTTGTCAGGTCATTGAAGTTGATCCATTACGCCAACGTTTAATCCTAACGTTGAAAAAAAGTTTAATACACACTAAATTACCATTAGTGAAGAGTTACAATGATTTGACAAAAGATCTTGTGACAATTGGTGTTATCATCTCGATTAATGATTATGGCCTACTAGTAAAACTGTTCGGTAATGTATGCGGACTTGTGCCCAAAAATGAAGTGGGTCAGTTAATATTGTCACACACAACTACAACAAAACATCAGTTATTACAAATGTTTTATGTTGGACAAACTGTTTCATGTCGTGTTTTGAATTTTGAAGTAGCACAAAAACGATTAACATTAAGTTTAAAGGTACATAGTAGTTATTGAATTTTCTTCGTAATTTGCATAGAAAGCCATTTTTATATATGTACACTTTGTTTTTCACTAATAGGTTCCTGGCAAAGTAGCATTCGGTACAAAACTGGCAGCAGTGGAAGAAGATTTTTCAATTGGAAAGGTATTTTGTTACTTTCTCTGATGATAAAGATGATAATAACTGCGTTCTAAATTTAGATAACGAAGTGGAAAGCAAATAATTCGGGAACAGAGGGGCATATATCGGGCATAGTTTTAACTAATGAAAAAATACCGTTGTTTGTCTATTTATCTAAAACGCATTTAACGGACTTTGTTGAACATCAAACATTTCTTCTTAATTATGGTTATAATAATAGTGAGCTAGAACGTGAAGGAATTTATTGGTCGAGAACATCTTTCGTTAACATATCAATGAGACGAATATTGATCGATTATTGTAAACATAATATATTACCACAAACATTGGAAGAGTGCACAGTATGTTTTATATCTCATCTATCTGGATTTTTCATTGCATTTTTCTTTGAAGACTGGTCTCATGATTCCTGGTGTTGTTCAAAATATTTTTGAATATGGTCTATTTATTGATTTACCAAATGATATTGTTGCCTTTGCACCAAATAAATATCTGGATTTAAATACTCTACAAACCATTGAAAAAAAATATCATATTGCACAAACTGTAATTGTACGTGTAGTACAAATAGATAATGAAAAACAACGATGCATCGTTAATCTAAAACCACTGTTATATGAAAGTGAAACTGATAATCAATTTCGACCAGAATCAATATTGAGCCATTATTTAGACGAAAAATTTGAAATTATCAATTTGCTTAAGAAAAATGGCACAGGTAGAAACAGATAAACAGTGAACAATTTTTTTTGGCTTGTTAAACTCAATTTATTGCTTACTTTATGACATACTTTGTGCTTACTCGTTCTAGGACTATTACATAAATTTTTAAATGAGACCAAATGGCTTGGTCATTATTGTCGTTGTGCTATTGAAAAACGTGATGGTGATTGGTTTTTATGTCGTATTGATAATGGTTTGATTAGTCGATGTTTATATGATGCACACTATAGTGTTGGTGATACAATCAGTGGCCATATCATCGATATTGATTTGTCGAATCAACAATTTATAATTACTACTGATTTATTAATGAATAAAAATCAATCGAACATTGATTTTAATACCATTGATCATTTATCATTTGAGTCATGTACAGTATTATGCCAATTATCATCATATGCCATTGGAATAATAGGCACATCGGTTCTTGTTCACATACCCACATTTTCTCATTTAAATTCATTTTATTGTTCAAATTTAACATACCAACGAAAACAAGTGTTAAAATTAGAAAATGTTGAATATACACGTTCACCGTTACATCATTATATTATTTCACATTCAACACAATCTTTAGTTTCTAAAAAAATATTATATGAGCCAGACGAAATTGTCAATGTGACCATTTGTGATGTATTACCTAAACAACTTAACGTTCGTCTAGAAGATGGTTCTCGTGGACGAATTCACATTACAGAAATATGTGATAAACCCTCAGAAACATTTCCATCATTAACTGATCAATATCAAACGAATCAACAATTGAAAGTACGTATCATTAGTACAAGAAATATTGAACAAACTAAATATCATCTTAAACCAGTCTATGAATTAACATTGCGATCTTCAACACAAACTACCATCATTAATGATCAACTCTATGGTTTTATTGATAAAATTGATCAAAATCATGGTTTATGGTTTTTTCTTTCACTTCATGTTCGAGCACTTGTACCAAATTTACTAATATCAACAAATCCAAATATTATTGAAAATTTAGCGGAACATTTTCGTATTGGACAATGTTGTCAACTTAATATTGTTTCTAAACGTGATGAACATCGTTATGATGCATCATTAATCGAATTAAAACCACCAAAAATTGGCACCGTTGTTTGCGCTCAATTTAAACAAATATTATCACCAAATGAATTTGTTTTCTCATTACCGACAGCAATTGATGGTACTCTTCTATCAACAGATGTCACAGATAATTATGTTGATTATTCATTTTGGACAAAATTAATGAATATTAAAAAGCCAACAAAAACAATGTCAACTATATACAATATGAAACGAGAACACCGAAAATTTAAAAATAAAATAGTACAAGTTTATATTAAAAATATTAACGATGAGAATAAGATCTCATTATCAACAAGAAAATCAAGGTAAAAATTAAATGTATAGTTTTGTGATTGATTATAATTTGTTAATTTGATTTTTTGTTTCAGAATTTTTAATAATCACCTTGATGTAACAGATGAAGAAGTAGAACGTTTAGAACAATTGGCAGTTGGCGATGTTATACGTGGCTATATATCGTCATTGACAAATCGTCAATTGACTTTATTAATTGGACAATCAATAACTGGTAGAATTGAAAAGATACCAATGCGACCATTGCATGGACATCTACGAGAATATCTTGATGTTGGAATGGTTGTCGAAGGAGAAGTTCTCAAGTAAGATTGCGGTAGATTAGAAGATTAAGACATTTTAAACTTGATTGCTTTTTACTCATTCAGAATCGATATAGAAACAAATTCGTGTAGTATGAAATTGACAAATGAATTTATTCAGCAGTTTCGAAAAGAAAAGGGCATAACTAAAACTAAAGTAAGTTAACAATGTTAAATGATGAGTCGGATCAAATAAACTGTATCTGATTAATTAATTTTTCAAGGAACATGAAGAAGATGAACCGAATGCGAAACGTATGAAGGTGATGACTGACAATAGTGTTGATTCTCTCGTTGATCTTGGTGGTCTGGGTGGTAATGCAAAATTCGAATGGCATGCTACGTTGAATGATCTTAGTGCTCACGTGGAAAATGGTAATATGGACGAGAAAGAAGACGAAGAAGTAACAACAATCACAAATGGAAAACGAAAAAAGATACCTGTCATTGTTGAAAACGGTACTAAACGTCAAAAACGAACCAATGATGAATTTGAACAATTAGTGACAAAAGCTCCAAATGATTCTCATTTATGGATTGATTATATGCAATATTACTTGACACAAGCGGAAATTGATCATGCACGATCGGTCGCCGAAAAAGCATTGAGAACGATATTTTATCGGTACTAACAAACAACTGTTTGGAATTAATAAATCACATATTGATACGTTGTTCTTGTTATTTAGGGAAGAACGAGATAAATTGAATATATGGGTGGCCTATCTTGATTTAGAAAGCAAACATGGTACACCAGAAAAACTAAATCAAATATTAAGTCGTGCAGTAGGAAATTGTGATGCATTAAGTGTTTATCAACGTTTGGCTGCTGATGTCTATGAAAAAAACAATCAGTTAGAAGTAGGCGATATAGTTTTTACAATAAATATTAACTTTCTCCTACTTATTTTTAGAATGCAAATGCAACATATTCTTTAATGGTGAAAAAATTTGCTAAAGAAAAAGTAGCTTGGTTATCCTATATTATCTATTTGTTCAAACAACATCATTTTGAACAAGCAAAATCAATGCTAGATAAATCCTTTCTAAGTTTACCCGCAACGGATCGTAAGTATTGTTTTTGTGATTAAGAAAGTGGTAGTATTTTAAGATCTTAATCTTTCTAATTTAGATGTTGAAATGATTAATAAATATGCTCAACTTGAATTTAAATATGGTGATAAAGAACGTGGAAAAACAATGTACGAAAAATTATTGGCCAATAGTCCAAAACGAACAGATTTATGGTCATTATATATTGATATGGTGATTAAATATGATCAAGATATATCAACAGCGAGGTAGGCAACTTTCTCCTATCATTCTCATATCAATAAAAAAGAAGTGACGGTTATACACTCAAATGTATCGAATTATAACTTAGTTTTGATTAAATATTTGTTCGTGTGTAAGAGTGGCACTTGCTGAAATGGAGTTTGAAGATATCTCTAAGAGGCATATATTTCCAGATCCGATCATGACTTCGCTCTCTCATTTTTCTTATGTTCTCCTTTTTTTTTATTCTAGGACAATATTTGATCGATTACTATCATTGAACATATCACCAAAAAAAATGAAATTTATCGTTAAAAAATATTTGGGTTTTGAACGCCAGTATGGTACACCTAAAGATATAGATCATGCTAAACAACGTGTTTTAGAATATGTCAATAGTAATGATATAAATACAGACGAAAGAACAGCATCAACAACACTAAGGACCAGTGATTATGATATCGAGGAATAAATTTTAGTTCCTGTTGTTATTTGTTTTTCTACTTTGTTATAGAAATAAATAAATATAGTGTGTTTAACAAATTATTTCCTAAATGTCCCCTGCTCGCTCATTGGGAGATCATCAATGAAACTAAATGAAAAAAAGAAGTATCATATCCTTTATATCATGTATAAGTCTGCTTTATATTAACCATCAAATTTTCCTACAATAACGCATACAATTCTGTGCGCATGTTGTGAAAATTAATGTTCACTCTAATGAATAAATAACGATTGACTGCTAATACTCAATCTTGGAAAATAGGGTTTGCATCTTTCTAAGAGAACAGAGAAATTATGAACACAATTGTGAATACATTTGTGATGCTAAAACCGCTCTGGAGGCGTCGACAGCAGGTATAAAGACTCGAACACGGTCCTTTGTCTACAACAACTTGATTTCGAAACTCATCATGTCGATATCACCTACCACATTCCCCCCACTTCACCATATCACAAGATAATCTTCATAAATACAACCACAACTAGAAATCGCAAGCAGAAGCATGCCCTAGACAGGTACTCAGTGATGTAAAGAGATGTAACCGATCTAACGAGTATTAGAAGGATGCATTCAT